AAAGAAATGATTCATCTAACTGCTTCTCTTCCACTTCTACTGAATCACCAGTTGAACCTCATGTCTCTCCTGTTCTGTTTCCAAGTCAGTCTCCTCCTACAACAACATCCTCCTCTTCATCCTCTCCTCCTCCAACTAACACTCATCATATGCAAACTAGGGCAAAGTCAGGAATTGTCAAACCTAGACTACATCCTACGTTACTATTGGCTCATACTGAGCCCAAGTCAGTTAAGCAAGCCCTTTCATCTCCTCGGTGGTTCTCAGCTATGCAGACTGAATATGATGCCTTAATGGCAAATAAAACCTGGTCCTTGGTTCCCCTACCACCTGACAAACAACCTATTGGCTGCAAATGGGTTTTCAGAATTAAGGAAAGTTCTGATGGACCTCTAAATAAGTTCAAAGCCAGATTAGTGGCTAAAGGCTTTCATCAAAGGTTTGGATTGGATTTCGGAGAAACCTTTTCACTAGTTGTCAAGCCTGTTACCATCAGAATTCTACTTACCCTAGCAATCTCTCACAACTGGTCCATACAACAACTTGATGTTAATAATGCATTCCTTAATGGAAATCTTGATGAAGAGGTTTATATGATTCAACCCCCAGGGTTTCAAGTACATGATACTTCTCCTGTTTGCAAACTTCACAAGTCACTGTATGGCCTTAAATAGTCTCCCAGAGCATGGTTTCAAAAGCTAACCTCTGTCCTCGATGCAGCTGGATTCAAACAAAGCAAATGTGATCCATCTCTACTCATCTTTCTGTCTTCTGGGATTCAAATCGACATCTTAATCTATGTGGATGATATTCTAGTCATTGGTAATAATCTTACTGCTATTCAACAACTCATTCATAAGCTGCACTCATTCTTCTCACTTAAACACTTAGGTGATACTGATTTCTTTCTAGGGATTGAAGTTAGAAAACTGAGAAATAGTTGTTTACACCTTTCTCAAACCAAATGTGTCAGAGACCTGCTACATAAAGTTGGAATGCTTGACTCAAAAGGAGTCAAAACACCCATGGTCAGCAGCTGCAAGCTAACAAATACAGGAAGTGATTGTCTACCTGATCCCTCTACTTACCGATCCATAGTTGGAGTCCTACAGTATGCAACTCTAACTCGACCGGAGATTAGCTATGCAGTAAACAAAGTATGTCAATTCATGGTCACACCTCTACAAGATCACTGGAAGGCAGTCAAACATATCCTGAGATATCTGTCTAGCACTATAACACATGGCATCATAATTAAACCTCTTCCTTTAGCTACCATACCTCTGCCTGTCTCAGCATTCTGTGATGCTGATTGGGCCTCAAATCCCGTAGATAGAAGATCCACCTCCTGATCCTGCATCTTTCTTGGTCCCAATATTATCTCTTGGTGGTCCAAGAAACAATTAAGAGTGGCAAGATCCTCAGCAGAAGCTGAATATAGAAGCTTAGCAGACACAACAACTGAACTCTTATGGGTTCAATATCTACTCAGGGAACTTCAAGTTTCATTCACTATTCCAAAAGTTTACTGTGATAATCTGAGCACAGTCCAGCTTGCACATAATCCTGTCCTACACTCTCGTATAAAACACATGGAAATTGATCTCTTTTTGTCAGGGAAAAGGTTCAATCCAAGTAGCTTGAAGTATTCCATATTCCAGCTCCTCATCAACTTCAGGACCAAACTTAGTGTGATTGATCTTCCAAATCAACCACCCTAACTTTGAGGAGGGAATGTTAGGAATACTATATGTACGCACATTGTAATAGCTTAGTACTAGTCTAGCTGTCACAGTTGGTCTGTTAGAGCTGCCTATTGTTAGTTACAAGTCGGTTAAGCATCTGTATTATAAATAGACATGTACTGGCTATTGTGATTAATGAGAGAAATCATCTTCTTCCTTTTCAATTCCTATTAATATTCTAATACTCTTTCATATCTGCACCAGCTATCAACATATCATCTACATAGAGAAGTAGAATGATATATGAACCCTTGAATTTCTTCATGTAGCAATGGTCCATCTCACATCTTTTGTATCAAACCCTTATAATGGAGTTATCAAATTTCAGATACTACTGTCTGGGTGCTTGTTTCAGACCATAAAAGCCCCTTTTTAGTTTGCAGACTAAATTTTCTTTTCCTGCAACCTAGAACCCCTCAAGTTGTGGCTTGTAGATATTCCTATCAAGATCGCCATGTAGAAATGCTATCTTAACATCTAGTTGCCTTCATCTGCCATTGTCCCAGTCCTTAACAATCTGCCAGCTATATTCTTCTGCGGCAGCGCAAGGAGGCTGAAGACGTAGGGTGGCATCAGTGGTGGTGGTCAGATATGTGGTGGTGGCTAACCTCTCTCTGATACCAGTTGTTAGGGTTAGAGCACACACACGAATCTGAAAAACTAGAAACGGATGATAAGAATGGCACACAAATTTCACGTGGTTCAGACTTCAGCCAGTAGATGTTACTGACCTAATCCACGAGGGCAACTAGGGTTTTCTTTCTCATTGAGTTGATGAATAATACAAGTCAGATGTTTACAAGTACAGGAGTTAATATATATAGGCAAACAATTAGGGTAAACTCTTTATTAAAACTCTGGGCCTGACTGCCACAAAAAAACAGGCCCTACTAGGGCTAGCTGCACATCTGGCTAGGGCCGGGTGCTGCTCCTTTATTTGGCTCCCAGATCTGAGTGGGCCGAAGCCTACACCCCAACAATTATGACCTACATTTATGTGTTGATTAAAAACATGGCACATAGGTTTAAATGGTGCAGTGTTGAAAACATTGATGTATACTCCCTCCGTCCCCCTGTTATTGTCCCATTGCGGTTTACGATGCTTGACTGACGATAAAGCAAACAGATCCCTGTCCGCACTCAAATTATTTTTAGGAAAAAAAAATTACATATTCAGAAACTGCATTAAAAGATTTACAAAGTCGCAAAAACCAGAATCAAATTTGATAAAAATTTGATACATAAAGTAAGAAATTAAGAGTGATTTGTGTTGACCAAGTGAATAGGAAATGGGACAATAACAGGGGGGCGGAGGGAGTATAAAAAATATGAATCACCAGTTTAAAGAGATAGGGAGACATTAATGGCACAGTGTACAGAATGGATTTTTCTAGATCATCAGTCCTTTTGTACAAAAAGAGAATACACAATTTTCTTCTTCAATCAATTCACCGATTTCTGTGGATGGCATCGCCCACGAGTTCACTCATTATTGATACCATAGCACATTTTATTGCCAATTTTTTTGCTAGAATCTAGCCGTTAACCAATGCTCTTGACACTTACTAGCCATTCAAACAATGGTGTTTAGCAAAAAAACAGTTCTCTTTGTCATTATTTATGTGAACGGTGGGTATAAAATATAAATGTGTAGTGATGTAGATGCTGACTGCGATAGTTTTTCTAGAAATGATCGTACAAAAAGTCACAGCTTGTTTTGAGAGATATGGAAAACTGCAAGTCTAGAAACGTGAGTCAGAGAGAACGGAAATGGACTGTTTTCTATGGATGACATTGCTGACAAGTTCTGGCTAGGTTTCAATACTCTTCTTCATTATATATGTGAATCGGGTATAAATATGTAGACACTGACTGCAATAATTTTTCTAGAAGTGTCCATACAAAGAGTTGCATTCTGTACTCAGTAGTGAGAGAGAAGGAAAAGTAGAAGTTTAGAAACAAGAGGGTGAGAATGGTCAGGGCACTTTCCCTGGATGATATTGCCAACCAGTTCTAGTCGCCCCGCCCCCTGGATCCGGTATCTCACGCGTTGGAGATCAGATTAGGTTCCTCCTTGAATGTCGCTGGTTCCTCCTCCTCCTTCTCCGGGATGATCAAAAGTTAGTCCCTCCGAGTGGAATTTCCAGGGCTTTCTCCAGGAAGGCTCCATCATTGATCAGAACTTTCCTCCGACACTTCTGATTGGTTCTGCCGCTTCTTCTTCTGTGTGTACTTCTCATTCGGTACAACGTCTACAACTGCAGCAGAAACCTGCTTCCAGTCAAAATTTGAATTACAATCTTACGACCTCTGGTGCTGCAGATGCAGCGAAGGTAACGGAGACGACTAATAAGTGTACGGATACAATGGCTTCTCTCATTCTGATACCTGTGTCGAGTATTCGTGATTATCCTGAGGTGCAACAGGCATTCCTCAAATCCAGCCTTGATTTAGCTTGTGCTGCAATAACTTTGACTCGTTTATGTGTCAATGTGTTTCTTTTGTTTGATAATTCTTTGTTTTCTATGTTTCCTGTCAAATTAGTGTTTATTATTTCCTAAATCTTGAAAATATCACTGCAAGATGCCCCAAATCCAAATTAGGGATTTCATGCTCTTTTTTTGTTCCATACCCGTAGAAGGGGTTTTCAGCCATACAATCATTTCTTTTCTTTTTGTGATGCTTACACAAGTTGAGTCACCATATCTATCTTCATATGTGTTGTATTATAATTAGATCGTAATACATGAAAAATAGAGAGAGACAGCACCAGCACGCATCTATAGTTGATCCGTTTGTATGCGACGGGTAGAGAGGTGCAGAACTTATTCTGGGCTGGACTGTCTGACATGAGGTTTCACGACTGCCACATAGCCTAGTAATTATTTACCGCTAGTGCATATCCTGTTCATGTCCTGTGCATGTCACGTGCTTCTAGATCAAGTCACAAATAAGTATTATTGTTTATATCTGTAAGTAATTTTTGGTTTACAATTATGCAAGCCAATCTGTAAGGACTTGTGATCTTAGGCAATCTAGACCGTGCTTATAATTTGAAACTATGGCAAGATCGCGGGCAAAAAACTGGACCCCTGCTATGTCAGAAATTTCTGACATCTTAACCCCTTTTGTCCAGGCAAATTAATCAGGACGTAGGCATATTGTGCTGCATGAATATCTTTTATAGTATTGCAAGAGTTTAAAACGCTTTGACTCATTTGACAATTCTCTGCATTGTTGATTTTTACTGCGTAGGATCTGTGCAAAATTTGCAAATGGTGCAAGAGGAGGGTAGAGTGCCAATTGGTATACCCTCCTTGCCTGCAGTGCAGAAGAAATTTGCTACACAGGCTCGGTCAATAAGTAGTGGCTCAGAGCAGTCAGATGATGATGAAGCGGAAGGAGAAGGCGAAGCTGAAACAACTCGGCACAGGGACCCAGCAGATGTGAAACGTGTAAGGAGGTTAGGACTTAAACAGCATTTGTAGTTTTCACATCACTTGATGAGTTGATTAACACTAGAAACACATGGGACTGGTAGCGCTCTGTACATTCATATGTAAACATGTAGTCTTCTTTAGTTTCTTCCTTCCAATATACTGCCATTTACAGTATTCTTTAGTTTCTTCCTTTCAATTTATTATGCATGATGGAGACATGTAGTACTGTTCAAAGCTGTGACTACCTCTTTGTTATTGCTCAATATTTTTCACCTATGGAACTTCTGTTTTATGTACAGGAATCCATTTGTATGATTGATTTGGACAATATAAGATGTATTGGATTTTCATTAAATAAATAAACTTTAACACGCAACCATAAAGTTTTGGGCAATTTTATTCACTAAATGATGAATGCGATAATCAGGCACCTTAAGATTTTTTCACCTATAACTCTGAATTGTTTGCCCTCTTGCTAGAATGATATCCAACAGAGAATCAGCCCGACGTTCTAGGAGAAGAAAGCAAGCCCATCTGACAGAACTAGATACACAGGTACCTTTCTTTAATCCAAACACATATTGGGATGGTTCAAATGAGAACCTTTTTCAGGCAAAGCACCACTTCTTACATGAGCACCTCTACTATTGCAGACTCGCAAACAACCATTATTTTTCCTGCCAAGTCTAATTTGTGTTTTCCTTATCAAGTCCATCTCATGGTTTACTCTAGGTATCTCAGTTGAAAATCGAAAACACATCATTAGTGGAGCGATTGACAGATGTGAGACGTAAATACAATGAGGCCGCGGTTGACAATAGAGTCTTGAAAGCAGATGTGGAGACATTAAGAGCAAAGGTACCAGATGTTAGAATGTAAATTTAAATGATTTTTAAGTTGGCATTACTTACCACACCACCCTGCCTTTCCTTCCCGGCATCCCCGCCCCTCCTTGAAGTCAACACTACTAATTGCAGGTTAAGATGGCAGAGCAAACAGTTAAAAGAGTAACTGGTTTGGATCCACTATTTCAAGCGATTTCTGACATGTCCAGAGTCGGCATGCAATCATTTGCTAGCAGTCGTGCTGAACCATCAATTGATGCTGGTGCTGCTCTACCACTTCGTAATGATCCCAGCCATAACTATTATCAGAATCCATCAAATGCACACATTCAGCTCCATGATCATTTAATCCAGAACAGGTTGGCAGGCATTCCACCAATAGATAATGCGAGTCATGGCCACACACCAGCAACTTCTGCATCAATGCAGCAGGTGTTTAGCTTGGAACATGTACAAAATCATATCCTGGATAAGTAGGGTTGTTTGTGGAAACCTGCATGCTCAGAGGGCGAGGTTGAATTAATTCTTTAAAAGTTCAATTAATGCTGTCTTAGAACTTTTCAACATATGCTGAAAAGATACATACTCTTGGTGTTGGTGTTGTAATGTCTATGTAGCCATTAAGTGGTGCTATTATGGGCTAGTTGGTTTCATAATTTAAAGCATTTTATGATGTATTTTATATAATGAGATAAGAATCAGTCATAAAATTTTCAGGTTAACTTTAACAAAAATCTGAAAAAAGAATCGAGTTACAGTTGCTGTATCAAGCCGAGTTTAATCAGCACGGCTGGCTTCAATTTCAGTATTGAGGAATGTCTATACTCAAATTTGTCCATCTCTAGAATTCATAAATTGCTAACTGACTAATTTCTTAATACTTCTTAGATTTCTAAAACAAGTTTATGCAACCATATAATGTTGATTTATGAATGATATTAACTACTCTAACATCTCAATCTGGTACATGTACTCACCTGAGGTTTACTGAGTTCATAAAATCTCAGCTGGAAAACTAACGTTTACTTTACTAAACATGACAATTAGCAAAGTAAGGTTATCCGTTTGTATACTTTATACGTTTGTATGTGTTATGATACTTGTTATTTTGGGCTAGGCTCTCTGACAATTGAGATTTGAGATAAGTGATTATTTACAAATGCATGTCATGTGCAATTGTGCATGTCCTCTGAATGCATGTGCATGTCATGTGCAATTGTGATGTCCTCTGAATGCATGTGCATGTTATGTGCATATCATATGGATGTCATGTGCATATCATATGCATGTCATGTGCATATCATATGGATGTCATGTGCATGTCATATGCATGTCATGTGCATATCATGTGTGGCTGTGTATGTCATGTGTTTGTCTTGTGCTTTTAGATTTGTGCACACCCTATGGTGTATACATGTCTTGCGCGTGTCATGTCCTCTGAATGCATGTGCATGTCATGTGCATATCATATGCATGTCATATGCATGTCATGTGCATATCATGTGTGGCTGTGTATGTCATGTGTTTGTCTTGTGCTTTTAGATTTGTGCACACCCTATGGCGTATACATGTCTTGCGCGTGTCATGTGCTTCTGAATAAGCGGGGGTTTTATGCAAACAAGCCAAAATCATTTGATTTGGCGAATCTGACGTTATCATTTCTTGAACTGTCCGATATAGGGAGTACTACATTGGTGGAAAATTATTTGAAATTGGAAGGTTCAGATATAAGGAATCCGACATTAATATCAATTCAACTTGCAATTTGCAAACACTAAAATTTACAAACACAAACAGGATTCAATGTTTATAATACCTTTCTAGCCTTAATATAATATAATACTAGTATAATTAATTAATTAATTAATTTCTCTCTAACACCCGGACATATCCACGGTATTTGTTAAAAAAAAGGATGACATCACATCCCTGAGGTCCCCCAACCCCGACCGGACGGTACGTTGGGAGGATGTAAATTGGACTATAATCCTAATTTGACAGATAGAGAGTAGGGCTCTGTCCCCGTTACTTGCAGAGGCCCTATGCATTTTTAGTATAGTAACCCCTCATCGCAGTTGCCGGGATTCGAACTCAGGACCTAACCCTTATGGCACTCCCTTGCTACCAGTTGAGCTACGTCCACCGGTTCCACAGTATTTGTTGGTGTTTGCAGCGGCAACTGATGGTCCGCTAGCATATTGGTGGCAAGCAGGGCCAACCTGTGCAGGTGTATTTTGTCCAAACACATAATAACTATTATTTTACTCTTTGGAGAACTCATATTTTAATTCGTCGTCATTCACCGCTAGATTGCTGTTGAGTGCCGTTGTCGACTTCAGGCCTCCGTCACCAATATATTGCCCTAATCATGTTGGATAAATTAGAGATCAATTAATGAAGAAGTATTTTAAGAATAGAAATATAATGTTTATTCTTATTTAATGAGAATAATAAATCATGGAGTCTTAATATTTTAATCGTATTTAGTACAATTTACTTTTTGTAAACTCTCGTCTTTTTAGTAAACTTTCATGACATCAACATATGTATACGTGAATCGTGTATAAATTGGTAGCTGCTGACTGTGATAATATTTCTAGAAGCGTCTGTACAAATAGTTGCAGCCTGTAGTGAGATTGACGTAAAAGTTACAACTTGAAGTTCGAGCGCAAAAATGGATACTGTGTTTTATGTGGATGACGATATCACCGACAAGTTCTGGCTGCAGCCCCCGCCAACGTCGATTCCGCTGCCCCACGCATCAGAGCTTGGAACTGGGTCCCCACATTCCTCCTCCTACGGGATGATGAACAGCTGGTCCTCTGAGTGGAATTTTCAGGGCCTTTTCCAAGAAGGCTCCATCATTGATGAGAACTAACAACTATACGGATGCGATGGCGTCTCTCGTGTCGATACCTACTTCGAATATTCCTGTTCATCCCGAATTGCACCAGGCTTTACTCAAAACCCGCCTTGATTTAGCTTGTGCTACCATAGGGTTACCCATGTATGTGTCAATGCTTTTCGATTTTCCGCTTCTTCGGTCATTCCTTGTTTTTGATTTTTATAGCGGAATTAGTGTTTATGATCTCTTAAATCTTGAAAATGCCAATGGAGAAGAAGTTTGACTTTTATCCATTGGTGCTTGAATTCTGGTCTCTCAGTAATTCCGATTTTCTGCTTTGTAATAAAGGGTCATCAGAAAATATGTTCTACATTCCTTTCACTTCTTTATTTACCGCAAGTGTATATCGTGTTCATGTCATGTGCATGTCACGTGCTGGTCCGGTGCTTGTCCTGTGCTTCTAGATCTAGTCACTAGTAACTATTACTTCATCCGTCTCTAAAAATTCTTCCAACTTTCTTTTGTTGGTTGTCCTAAAAAAACTTCCACTTTCTATATTAAGAAAGATTTTCATTTAAAATTACCCACTACCCTCACAATTACTTTTGCATCCCCCACATTTATTACCCCACCCAACCCATCCATCCGTATCCATCTCTTTTCTCATTATTCCTTACATCTGTATTGACAGGAAGAAGTTCTCAATTCTCATACCTGGGTTCGAATTCCGAAACTCCTTAGTCTTGGAAGGCCGAAGAATTAACTAATTAAGCAAAGAGTGAAAGATTCAAAGAACCTAATTGTCTAATTGACTTGTTAGTCAATCGGACTATCGAGTACTGACAATCGGAAATCAAACAGAGCTACGGATTGCTGTGAGTGCAGAGTGCTATCTGCTGGTTGCTGCTGCGGTGGGGACTGGATGAGTGCGGACTAGCGGAGCTGCAATTATCTCATCATAATATGTGTAATTAAAATTGTATCGAATTACTAATTACCTACACATTTTTAAATTATGTGTAGCTAAATCCCAAACATAGTAAGTATAGTTATTTTATGTGTGGGGTAAATCATTCATATTCTTGTAGTGCTATTTCAAATTATAAATCAAAATACTATTTTGGATATGAAAACTTGAGATAAAAACGACAGTTCAACGAACCATCATGATCGGAAATATTTGGACTTAGGTTTTTATTACTTTTTTGGTTTTGATTATATTTGTTTGTGAAAATGCCATACATGCTTATTATTTAAAAAAATCAATTTTATGTCATTATATTATATCAAGATGTCAATATTTTAATGGTATGTTTTTTAACTGGATTGCCAAATGTTGTCATTTTTAGCAATATTATTTCCGAAAATGTCATGATGATGGAAGTTTCATATAAAACATGACATTCTCAGTTATAAAAAATTTGAATTTTTAGATGAAAAATAATGGCAATTTAAGGACGATAATTCTGACATCATTTGGAAAATATGTCAAAAAATATGTCATTTCTAATAACAAGTAGTTATGTCATTCTGAGATAAGCCGTAAAAATGACATAAAATGCCATAAGAATGACATTTTCTTATGAGCATATGACATTTTCAGATTGTCATCTTGATAAATATACTGCCACAAACGTGCCAGTTTTTTCAAATAACCAATAATTTTGACATTCTCAGATTATTCTCAAATTATAAAAGTGGCATTTTGCTGAATAAATATAATTCAAATCCAAAAAATCTAAATTAATATATAAAATTCAAATCCAAAAAAATATAAGAAGAAGAGAACAGAGGACCAGAAGTTTGAAGAGGATTACAAGAAGAGGAGGAGGAAAAAGAAGAAGAAGATGAGGAGGAGGGGGAGGGGGACGAGGAGGACGAGAAGGAGGAGGAGGAGGAGGAGGAGGAGTGGAGGATACCTGTAACCGTTGGAGGAACCTGCAGCGGCATCGATTTGGAGAGCTACTATTGATTTCGTTGATGCGAAGCTTCATCTGGAGAGCTGTAATTGATGGTGTCGGTGGGAGAAAACGCAAGAGCACGGAGCTTGGGGCGGAAGAAATCGCAGAACATAGCGAGAAGTTGAGTTTAATAAGAGGAAGGGTAAAAGTGTAATCTGGAGTCCTATTTAGTGAATAAAAAACTTGAAGTCTCATATAGGAATTTACTCCATGTTTTAATCCCATTTTGGGCAAATTTTATTACTGTTGGTCCAAAATAGGATGCTCGTAGGCTTTTAGGAAAGCTACGATACACACTCAAGCAGGAATCAAGAAAATAATACGAGAATGGAAAGTATCTAAGGAAGTTTAGTTGCCAGAAATAGTGTATCTGTATTTGAAATTCGAATTGCCTTTTATAGGCGATTACAAATGGTAACTGCCGAACATAATAATGACTAAATTAATTACAACATTAATACGGAATTAAATAAATAATTAATAGCGTATTGATTGTTGACCGTTACTCTTCATGGCTGGTTGGCAGGCAGAATGCTTGAGCTCCTCGGGCGGCAGCCTTCCGCTGAGTTGGAAGGCAGGCTCCCCGCTGGGCTGGAGGACCGTCTCCTCACTAGGCCGAAAGGCAGGCTTTCGGTTGGGCCGGTAGGCAGGCTCCCCGCTGAGCTGAAGGACAGGCTCCTTGCTAGGCCGAAAGGCAGGTTTCCGGTTGGGCTGGTAGGCAGGCCATCTCGGGCTTCCGCTTGGGCCGGCATAAGCTCTGGGTTGTTGGGCCCACTGGTCGGGCTGTCCTGGTAAGATAATGGTCCTGGGCTTGGGCCTGTTGGTCCAAGTTTGGGGCCGGGCCGAATAGACATTAGGCCTGCTAGTCCCATAACTCCATCAATTACAAAATAGTAAAGTTAGTAACTTAGAATTGTGGGTTGGAAATTAATTTTGGGGTGGTCTGGGAGTAAATTTTGTGTGGGTTGATATAATATTACTTCTATAATTTCTATTTTTTTAGACTCTTAAACAATTGGGCCTCTGCGAGTGGGCTGCTTTGGGGGCGAAAATATTTTTTGATGGGTT